ACCCGTCATGCGTCGGTTTATCATAGCGGATGCACTATGGAGCATTTGTGAGGTGGTTGGACCGCCAATGCGAAAGGAGGAATGGTGGGGTCGCGTCATGAACAGGCTTGCATTACCTCATGGCGCACGCATATCCTCTCGGCAGACGAAAAGTAGACGTTATCGCTTAGTCAGCCGGTTGATAGCTGCGCTGCAGATATACCGGGAGGGAAATCGACCGCCGGCTAGTGAGGTAGTAGACCTCAAGGGAGAGGTATTCCGAACTGTACAAGACTCGGACGTTTTTCGTTCACCGGCGTATGACAAATTTAGGGAGGATGGATCCCCATGATACCTTGTTGGTCCCATGACAGTGCTGGTACTGCCGCTCCACAAGGAGCGTCAGCAGAAATCGGCGACCGCTCGCCTTCACTACTCATGAAGAATTGAATTTCTGCTCATGCCATGCTTGCCGCAAGCGTGTTGCGTTTGGTGTGGAAAAGGGACTGCCAGCTTGTAGCATTGGGCGTCCAAGCCGCCAGTAATGGACGAAGCGCTGCATTGCTGGATCAACTGAAGCGGACAATTTGCCGGGAAGCAGAGACACCTTTTGGGCGCAGTACGTACATGTGATGTGACTTTGGACCATCTCACATTGGTCTATCGTCGACGCACGCGTTTGTGTTGTTACTGTTTGCGACTCTGGCGAGAGCTCGGAGACTCCTGTTTCCTACAATATCATCTCTACGTTCTTCAGACTCTCGAAAGGCACCGACTCCAAATTCTCTGCACAATACCATTTATCGAATTCCTAAACAGCATGCAGGGTCTACGTATAATGGGCTCTAGGACACCGGTCGCAAAACAGAGTTCCACTAAATTGTTTGGAAGCAAACAGGGTAAAGCAGGCGGTGGATTATGTAGGCAGTGCAGCACGTAGAACCCCTATGGACAGCAAGAATTCGCCATCTACGTCTTTCCTTCCGAGGGTCCTGCGAAACTCACAGGGTTCCATCATACGTAAAGTAGCTAGCAGTGATAAAGATGAAGCATATCAAAGCTCGCTTGAACTAAAAGAGCACAACGGTTTCTCAAGGTACCAAGTATTCCTCGTGGTGACCAGAATTGGTCTCAGAAAATGTAAGCCCAGACGAAATAACCATACTGAAGAATTGGGGTAGGCAACGGTGCCATTATTTAAGGAGAAGGTGCGCTGTCCGACTGGTGCCTTGCTGGGCGATTTTGCCCAATTCCGTCTTGCAGGATCATCTGCCGAGCAGCGTATCTCCTGCCTGCAGAAATATCGCTTTTCTAGAGGCCTGCATATTCGTCGGATCGGCAGGAGCCAAAGGATTCGAAACAGCACCACATAACGTTGATCCCAACCGAGGTTTCCACTTTTTGGGGCATTCTTCTTAGAAGGCGCAACCGTTGAGTAGTATTTTTTGATTACATTCTAGAATCGTTATCGACGTCACTGCCAGAAAATGGCCTGGAGCGCTGCAAGGACGTTGCCGATCACCTAACGCCGCGAAGGAGTCCACGGCCCGTACGACAGAATTCGGCCGCTCGTAATAATGCAGGCGGTGTTGGTCGCGTAGCTGCTGGGAATGTAAAGCAACCCTCAGAGCCTTCACGAGCGCTCGACATGCTAAGCAGGGTCACTGCATGAATGCCAGTCCCCCTTAGGGAAATAGTACACCCGAGGGCAACGCTAAATGAGAGCAGCGTTGCCCTCGAGTGTACTATCTCCGTCTTTCATTTGGAGGGGTGCTAAGGCCTGCTCGATTAGCTGTTGATAGCCTCTCAGGGACTTGTATTTTGACAAACGCTTCTGCATTTGTCCTGACTGGGGGCTTATTTGGCTTGAACCGTGTCTTTTGCTGCTGAAGCCAATTTTCCCGGCGACCGCCAATGCATTGCTCCTTCTGCCGACGTCGCTGCAATTCCTTGTTGTGAAGTCTTCGCTGCTGCTCGTCTAGCACATCGTTTGGCGCCTTTTTGGGGTAAAGTGCCCCCCAGCACAACTCAGAAGAGGCCCTTCCTTGCTCCTGCTCAACCTCATGAGACACCACTTCCTCAGAACGATACTCGCATGCGCTGAAAATGTTTGGACTTCGAACCGGGCGCTGTGATTTGCCTGCCTTTCTCACTCTTTCCTAGGTGCTGCCGAGCACAATAGCTCAAGTGCCAGTTTCCGCCTGTCCACTAGTACGTAGTTTCGTGGGGATTAGCCTACACAAACGCTCGTACAGGCTCTCATTGCTGCAGTTCTAATCGTGTTGTAACTTTGAACCGGCCTTACAACGGGCTGAACGTCATCGTACATGCTTCTACAGAAGGCCGGCTGTTTGGATATTTCGAGTCCTATAGGACTGTTTCGCTCATGCATTGCGTTGCTGTGGGTTTTTGATCACTAAAGTTACCGCACTATGCGTGAGCCCGGATGCCACTGCATCCTTAAGGCCATTCATACACATACATATCCTTCTTCCGTTTGATAGAGTCATCCAGAGAACAAGTCTCCCCGACACCTTGGTGCCTGTTGGATTCTTTGTGATTGAGCCGCAGACTGGTCCTACGGAAATTCATTTATTTCCTTTTCTGTCCCAGAGACTGGCTAAGAAAGCTTTCGAAGTTGTAGGCTCTGGAAAGGAACACAACTAACCCTTTAGTATGCAAGGCCCTCTGGGGGCTTTTCGAAAATAGCGGGTAGTTTATGCAGCATTTAAGAGGCAGCCTACCATTGAAGGGCCAAGTGTGCTGGTATCCCTTCGTAGAGAGGCTGGCAATAACTCGTAAATTTAAGGCCATTTCTAGACAGAAGCCAACGCAGCTCTACTGTGAATGGTGCAATTCGCTCTGCTTGAGAGAAAGGGCGGAAACACGTAACAATGGTGAAGTGGTTAAGCTGAAGCAAATTGCTTCTTGCTTGAACAGCGCATCCCACTTGCAACATCCAGCAGTTCACGAAGTAAGGACGATGTCTGCAGATCCCCGCTAACCCTTGCAACAAAACCGCAGCCTGTGTTGCTGAAAGAGTCCCGGGATATGGATTGGTGTGAATGTGAGTATCACGTTTCCTTAAAGACTTCCTTAACTTCCTTAGCCCCGTGAAGTTCTTCAGCAGTGTTTGCAGGGATACAAGAAGGGGCTACAAGGTTCTCAGGTCAGGAACTCGAGTACCTACAGTAGGTCACGCCGTGGAGGCGGCACCACCAAACTACCGCTTGTCTAGGAAATCCGGAAATGTTCTCGTGACATGCAGACCTGAACATAGGGGGAATGTGTGAAATATGTACTGTGATCACGCAGCACCTGGCTGGGGTAGCTGGATTCAAGGAGCTGTACAGCGCTCTTCCCCATGGAATGTTCACTGTGATAGGCTCTGTAGCGGGTCTTAAAGTTGCATTGCTTCTGCATCTGTCCGGATACGTTTGGGAAAATCCACATCACCTTCCCTGTTATTTTCAAAGGTCTGCGGCGCGATATTAACCACAAAGAAACTAACGGCACGCTACCATGGACGCATCTCCAATAGCAGCAAGAAGCAAAGGAACGTATGCAGGTTCCGTTCCAAAACAGCGTCCTCGGAAATGCACTCAGCTATTCGCCCCCCCAGAAAACCTGCACGACCAACAGACGTTTTTTACACACCCTGCGCCGTTCTATAAGAAGGCAATTACGCCTCTTATGACTCAGCTGGGAGCAACGAAAGCGCAGTCGACCAAGAACTTGGGTGAAAAGCGCTCCCACAGGGGGCTGTCGCTTGGGCCCGGTTTACTCAATCCACTTAGACGACATCGCGAAGGATAGGCTTATCGTAACCTGTGTGCATCTATGGCATCAATCACGCCATTACGCAAGTGAGATTTCCCATATTAGTTAAGAAAGGGTGCGCCGTGGTACGCAGCCATGCAAAGGTGCCGCACTCCAGGTCTGCTCCACAGTTCGAAAGGTTCTTGTTTACCATAAAAGGAAGCGCAGCACTCAAAAGGCCTCAAATCGCAGCCTTCACAGGACGTTTAATGGCTTGACACTCCTGGAAAAACGAACGCAAGAACAGTTGCAACGCTAGAAGGGCCGGCCAACATAGGCAAACGTTTCGGGTGTCAACGCAACCGCAGCTTCAAATCTAGCATATAGCAATTAGCCTTTTAAAAGCTTAGTTCGTATGGAGGCATACAACTGAGGCGATGCATGACCCTTTCGGGTTCTTGCAGGTGCGCAAGCGGAAGACCCCGACAGCTTAGACAAGAGATACACGCATATGGTGAACGTAGCACTCTGATTTCGACAATTCTTCGAGTATATTCATTCAATCATCCTGGACGAAAACATTACGCAGGCTATCAGCGCCGGCGCCCTCAACATCCAGTACACTTCCCTCCGACCTCAAGTTGCGCTTCAGCAAGCTGCGCCTCAGCCACATGTGAAGCAGAAAATATTTTCTGCCTTGAAGTTGGATCTTACAACTTGAGCCGTTGACGCACTGATTCACTATCGACAGCTCAGAACGAGGATGGATAGCATCGTTTGTTCTCTGGTACCCTGCACTGCTCTGAAACGATCCACCGTCACGACCATAATATGCCGCATGTGGCCTATATCACGAGGGATACCATGGGGCATACACGAACAGCTGAATTCAAAACAAATAAGATGCCCGATGAAGAGTTTTAAATGTTGCTCTTCTGCGAGCCCACGACAGCGAAGCCGCGCGAGTGCCAGCTTGTTTCCAGATCGATGCGGCGGGTACGGGTAGGTGAAGGAGCAGCTGCTTCTCCGCAAAGGCGCTACATTAGAACTGCTACAGCGGAACAATCCAGGGACAAGCTAGAGAATGCTGATCATATGCCTCTGCCTGAGGCGAAATATTCAATGAGGACATCTCGCTCCTCCATCAGCGAGCCATTGTGGGAAGATACAGTGATATTCATGTGCGCAATGCATGGCGTCCAGTCGTGCCTTTTAAATGTGCTCTTCTCTTAGGGTAGGAAAGTGATTCTGTTTGCTGTGAAATGCAAATATCCTCATGGAGTTTGGGAGTGCACTTCCCTGTGGGCCAGCAAGATGGCGTTGGGCGGTGGACCGGTTCCCGCCCCACAAACATCGGCAAGGCTGGACGCGTCACCCTACATTCTGCTCATCTGAGTAGAAACCAAAAAGCAGCTTTAATTAGAACTGCAGTTTCAGCGCTTTTGGCCCTCGTTCTTGTAGCCTATTTCTGTCGGTCTCCAGAAGGGCTGTGGAGGTCGAAAGCCGCAGACATTCGCCGGCTGGCTAGCAGTGATGAAGACGAAGTGTGCGACGGTTTGCTTGAGCTAATAGAATCGGCTAGTGGAGGAGAGAGTGGGGCATCTTCGAGCCCCAAGGAACTTTCCCAGAGCGCCAGCGTTGCCGAGGGAGCAGGCTCTAGAAAGAGGGCACATAGCACGGATAGCCAAGATGAGGAGGTGGAGAAAGCAAAGAGGCCTTTAGTTGAGGGGGACCTGCTGAGTATGACCGCAAATATGCAGGACAAGGTTGATTCCCGACAAAATTCTCCTCCCGAGGTGTCTCCTGCCCAACAGCAGGCTGTCTCCAGTCGGGATCTGGGGTTCAGTGCAGGCTTTAAAGGAAGTGATGAAGCTAACACATCATCAGCCAACGAAGAATTCTTAACCTCCTGGGAGGGTGAGGACATGGGTGGCAGCAGTTTGCTCGAAGAATTTTTTGCAGACGACGATCCGTTTGAGCAGTCGTTTCTCGATTTCGTCTTTGATCCAGACTTAACTTCATCGTCAGGAGACGACGTAGACAAGTTGGAAGATGCGCAGGGGACCCCTGGTGATACGAGAGATAACGCGGCACAACAGGTAACTAGCAGTAGCAGTCCAACCTCCAAAGGTCAGAGTTCGGCTGCTCCCGGCAGTGGAGCCGATGACGTTCAGCCGGCGGTTTTGGAGAGCCAAGGTCTTCAGGGACACCAGAAGCCGTCCGGAGTGTCTACAGAGCTATCAACCAGTTCGGCTTCAACGAAAGGAAGCCAAGGTTTCGTGTTAGTTCAGAATATTCCAGTTTTCAAACGGACTCATTCGGAGGTGGGTGCTAGTGCCAGCTATGTTGTGGTTTGTCACTTCTTCAGGGGCTTCTGTTTTGGCATAAACCTTTCGGATGTTGGCAGATGAGTGGTTGCATATGGCTCGCAGGGCGTCAATTTATCGTCTTATCCGCATGCTACGCGTGAACTGTGCCTCCCGTTGGCGCTCGTAATTTTGCTTTTCCTGTCCCATTAGCAACACGTCTTATTGGATAGTTGAAATAGATGTATGTTGATCATGTTGTGTCTTCAGGCCCCACTATTTGTTTACTCTTCGCAGCCTCACGACGCTGTGCACGATCAGCAGACTTCCACAGATCTATCGCCTCCGTCAACGAGTCAGTTGGAGGCGCCGGGGCCCTCGCAGTGTCAGGTGAGCTCTACTACTCCCGACACAAGCTAGAACTCAGTTAGAAGCTAGATCCCCGTAACTGTCAAGTTATTCCTGTGCTTCTCTCTCTCTATTTGGTGCAACTGACCCTGCTGGCGTCAACGCTACCCCTGCTACCAACTGATAGCAGTGTGAAACCAAATTTCCCAAATAGCTAGGTTTCCCGTATTCTTTCTGTAATTTTCTTGCTGAGGCCTGTTACTTGCCTTGCTTTGTGGCTGCCTTCGTGTGAAACTACCAATTCTCCCACACGGCTTCTTTCTTTGCGTTGTGTGTTGTCCCTGGTTCTCCTCATTTTTTAAGATTCCCGCAGACGAAGAAGCGCCAAAGAAACACGCATTCTACCGTCTGCCAAGGGCTGATCATTCGTGCAAACTTGTCCCCTTTAACTTTGCGAAGGCCATCGTGTATACCCCTCGAACCAACACCCCGAAAACACTGGCGTCCATTAGGCAATTGCTGGTCAAAGAACAGCTCACGGCTGACGAACTTCAGTCATTGATAGATTTGGCCGCGAAGGTGGTTAAAAATGTATACAATATGGGCAAGTTTAGGAAGGGGCTTGTCCCTCTAAGGGAAGTGCGAGAGCACGTCATGCGTCGATTTATCATAGCGGATGCACTATGGGGCATTTGTGAAGTGGTTGGTCCGTCAATGCGGAAGGAAGAGTGGTGGAAGCAAGTTATGGAAAAGCTCTTGCTATTCCCTAGTGCGAGTGTAACCTCTGGACATATGCAAACAGGCCGTTTTCAAGTCGTTCGCCGGTTTGTCGCTGCGCTGCAAATGTATCGGGAGGGACGTCGTCCTGCGCCACGAGAGGTAATTGAGCTGAAGCGAGAGGTATTTTGCTCTCCGGAAGCCCCGCCTCCGTTCCGCTCACGTGAATATGACATATTTAGAGACGACGATACTCAAGAAGAAGTCTAAGAGGGAATTTACCGCTGGACACGATCGCTTCTTTTGAATAATTGCAATGTTGGTCCATCTCCACGTGCTGAAGACCTACTTTTTGTCTGGTGGAGGAGGGACTGGAGGCGTGTAGCTTCTTGGATCCAAGCCGCCACTATTCGACCAAGCACTTCATTTATGGGGCGACTGAAGCGGACGAACATGTGCTGAAAACAGACATGCCGCTTGGACACAGCGGGAGCATTTGAACTGGTGTTGGACCATGTTGCATCGATCCATCTTTGGCCCGCGTGTTTTTGATGTCGCTCAACCTATGCGCCCGCCGCTGGCGACTGCTTTGAAATGCATGCTTTTGCAGCATCACTTGAACTTCTTTCCAATTGTTGACAGGGAACGACGCTGTACGGTCTTTCCTTAACCGTTTATCGAATGCCTATGCGGCACGCAAGGCATAATTATAGTAAGATGGAAACGTACTATCAGGATATCTGCTTTACAATAGGTATCGCAGAAGGAGTTCCATTGTACTGTATAGAAGCAAGCATGGTAAGGCAGAAGGCCGATTAAGTAGTCAATGCACCGTGCAGAACATACATGGCCAGGGAAATTTCGCCAGCTAAATCTGCGGCTTTCAGGAGTCCTGAGGAAGTCAAAGGGACCCACCTTGCATGCAGTACTAGGATAGACGGTGACGAGTCGTTCGCCGATTTGCTTGAGTTGATAGAACTGCCGATCGGAGAACAATGCAAGGGCACCTGAAGGTCCTAAGAACTCCTCTAGAGAGCTGACGTGGTGAAGAGGGCAGGGAGTGTAGCAAGCAAAGCCGTTACTTGATGAAAAGCAGAATATGACTGGAAACATGTAGGCTGGCTGTGGGCCATCGTTAAGTTTTGCCCGATGTAACTTTGGAAATACTAGGTGTGGATGTGGTTCAACTTCTTCGCACAGTGCTGCTACAAAAGGGGTATGGTGTATTGCGCCAGGTGGCTTGCTAGGCAA